TATATGAAACTATATATGTGTGTGCGTGTGCGCGTGTAGATGTGTTTGAGATGTGTGTATATGAAACTATATTGTGTGTGTGCGTGTGAGCGTGTAGATGTCTAGATGTGTTTGAGATGTGTGTATATGACACTATATTGTGATCGTGTGAGTGGATTGTATGCTGAGTGTATGATAGTGCAACCAAGCGCGAGCGCGTGCGATATACCTATGTCTCTGCTGTCAACACCAATACTACCACCATATGTGATCAGAGAGTTCGTGTGATTGTTATTCAAGGTATTTGACAAAGATGGAGTGTTGCATGGCCTTGGTACAGAGCGTATGCGCCTATGTGTTCTTCTGATGATAAAAATCTCTGCCATCCTATCCATGTGCAATGATTTTGTGGGATGTTGAAGCTTTGTTTGTGTGGCGTGTGCGAACATGACCTGCACTGTTTGCATATTGACACTAGAAACTCACACAACAGTATCTCTTCAGCAGAAGCTCCTCTAATCCCAATGAGACACGGTACACGAATACCCCTCTCATTGCAAGAATCACATACATATGCGCTGCTAAATGATACACTATATGATTATAGGTACACCACAGTCTTTGTGACCACTCTGAAATACTATCAACTTATAGCCTGGAATACACAATGAACACGTAACGTCCGTACTTGAACACATATACGGGTTAGGGTTTTAGTTTTATAAAACCTAACCCTAACACATATACACTCACCTGTTGGTCGTAGTGGAACAGACGTGTGCCGTCGAAGTGGCGCAGCTTACGCGCAATGGCTCCGTCCACTGAGAACGCATAGTCCTGCACGGCTGCCATCTGCTCCACTGCGAGAGGGAATTCACAACAAACACGTAGAGGGTATCAAAACACTACTCGAGGTGTGTCTGTACTTGGGGTATATGTATGGTTGGTGCTTGGGGTATATGTATGGTTGGTGCTTGGGGTATATGTATGGTTGGTGCTTTTGGGGTATACGTATGGTTGGTGCTTGGGGTATATGTATGGTTGGTGTTTGGGGTATATGTATAGTTGGTGCTTGGGGTATTTGTATGGTTGGTACTTGGGGTATATGTTT